TCCTTTCTTTTTTCTGGCATTGCATATTGAGCTACTTCTATTCCTGTGGCTTTTCATTTATTTTGGGTTATTGTTGCTTTCGCTGATTGCAGCTGAACAGTTTTTTTAAGTAGTGCCATGGCTACTACAGACCTTGAGTCCCTTCACAAGTGAGAATGTTCCTTTGATACTTGCAAAATTCCTTGACAGAGTATTATATGACAGGCTAATACTTTTTTTTCATCAGAACTCTGTAGGTGTAGACAAAAACTCTTAGCACCGTTTCAAATTCTCACTGCCTTACCTTTTAACTTTAACCACAACTGCAGCAACCAGCTCTGCGTAAGTTTCAATCGCCTTTGTAGTTCCTTTGCTTCAGGCCTGTGTCCTGCACTTCTGGCTTCTTACATGAGGCTTCTTAGATAGAAGCTTTCACTAAAACATGGACACCCTACCCATATAGAGGAGTTAATGTCATCACTGGGAGGTCAGGGACCCATGGTCTTTCCACTTTTCTTCTCTGGATGATCTAGAAACACATTTCATAAGACTTCTAAGACAGTCCCAAGGGACTCAGCATCCAGTTGCCCCTAGCAATGACCAACTTAATAATATATTTTTGTATTGGTCTTCCCTTTTTTTCCCCTGTTTCATTCTTTTATCTTTTATTCCTGCTTCCTGGATTCTACTCCCAAATAAATTACTCTCACATGAATTACTTTCAGGTAAATTTAACCTTAGATAATAGGCATTGCTTCATTGTGCTCTCACATTGAATATTGATTGTTGTGGGGATTTTTGAGGCCAGTGGGTACCCACTACCCCTTCATCAACCCATACCTTTTAAGTTATTTCATAAATTTTTCTTTCTGGTGGCTGAAGAACTCAATAACTTAACCAAGATATGTCTTGGTTATGATGGTTCTTTATCAATTTTTCTTGGAAGATAGCTGAGGGGTGATGATTAAGTTAACTGATGCCCTGTAGGCTGGCTTCCTGGAGAGGAAGTTGGCTCGCTGACTCTGGATACCAATGATAGCCTACAACCTAGGGTTTAATGCAATCCATCCTGGCAGGGAGCTGACATGTGGATTGAGACCTCAGCCAAGTTTCCACCTAGTAGTAGTGCTGTAATCACAAGGGTTAAGATCACACCCTGGGGAAGCCAAGTGTTCTCCCAATTGATGAATGCTGAGATAGTGGGTGGAGCTGAAAGCCAAGGTTCTGCTGTTAGAGCCTATGTCTTAATTTCACTAGGAAGAATTTGGTTCTTTAATAATTAAGGAGTTTAAAAACCCTAACATCTAAGGCCCAGGATCTTTCTCTCAGATGTAGATTTACAGTCTGTTAGATTGTTGTGGGCTTCCTGAGAATAAGATGATCATGAGAGGATCATTCACATGTACTGCAGATAGAATGCCTTTAAGGGGGCACCTGGGTGGCTCAGTCAGTTAAGCGACTGCCTTCGGCTCAGGTCATGATCCTGGAGTCCCAGGATTGAGTCCCACATCGGGATCCCTGCTCAGCGGGGAGTCTGCTTCTCCCTCTGACCCTCCTCCCTCTCGTGCTCTCTGTCTCTCATTCTCTCTCGCAAATAAATAAATAAATAAATCTAAAAAAAAAAAGAATGCCTTTAAGGAGGTAATTAAGGTTAAACGAGGTTACAAGGATGGAGCCCTGATCCAATGGAACTGTGCCCTTATAAAAAAGAGACACTAGATCTTTCTCTGTGAGAATATAGCCCGAAAGTGACTGTCTGCAAGCCAGGAAGGGAATCTTTCCAGAAACTGAATCTTGTTGGAAACTTGATCTTGGACTTTCCAACCTCCAGAACTATGAGAAAATATATTTCTGTTATTTAAGTCACCCAATCTATGGTATTTTGTTATGGCAGCCAGAGCAAACTAAGACAATGTCCAAATTTAATCAGATGGCTATTTCATGTTTCTTATTACCCACAGAGGATGACAGCAGGAGAATGCAGAGAAGTCAACACAAAGACAAATTGCTTAAGCCCAGTGTTCACTCCAAATGGTATGCTAACTGGATTGCTTGCCCAATGCTATAAATATCCTAAATAGAGCCATTCCTAGCAACAATCCATCTGTTCTCAGCCATCTGTTATGAACTTAGGATTCTGAGCACAGAAAGTTTTCTGGTGCTGAACAACTGTGATTTGGGGACCCAATCCAGATATCCCTTCCCACACCTTTTTCTTTTTTTCCCCCCAACCCTGTCTTAGCAACTGTGAAATCAGGACTGCTGCACTAAAAGACAGGTGGAGAATATCCTGGGTCACTGCTCTACCTGGTTGTTGATGGTTTCTCAAATTGCAGCTTTGCCCCTTACCTTTGCCCGACCACCTGCTGTGATACCAATACTCTGCCATGTGGGCACTGAGAAGCCAGTCTTATCCTGGTGCTGGTGCAAATGAAGTGGTCCAACTATTGCATGACCACAGAAATGGGAAAACGTTGGTGCAGGATTCCCACCAAGGTGATGGTCCCGGGTATGGGCAAAATGCCATGGATATTTATGGAAGTAGAAAAAGTCCCTTGCTAGGTAGGAAGGAAACCTCTGAAATCATGGGATGTGGGATAGAGATGCATTCTCACTATCCTGCATTAGATTGTCCTAGGAGAACTCTCAATCAGGTTGTCCCAGGTTCTTTGATGCAACTCTCACAGGTGGTGGACTCTTCTGTTAATCTTCATGCTACCGATTCTATTTCTTCCCCAAGTTTTTATTTAAATTCCAGTTAGCATACAGTATAATATTAGTTTCAGGTATAGAATTTAGTGACTCAACACTTACATACAGCACCTGGTGTTCATTACAAGTGCCCTCCTTAATACCCATCATCTATTTCACCCTTACCCACCCTTCCTCTGGTAACCATCAGTTTGTTCTCTATAGTCAAGAGTCTGTTTCTTGGTTTGCCTCTTCCCTCCCACCCCATATTCATTTGTTTTGTTTTTTAAATTCTGCATGAGTGAAGTGGTATTTGTCTTTCTCTGACTGAATCTATAGTCCAGAAGTAGGTGCAGCTAGGGAGAGCCAGGGGCCATTTTGGTATCTCCTAATGTCACTATCCTTTTAGAATATTCTATTGAGTTATACCACCCAGTATCTGCCAATGTAACTCACTGTCAGTGGAAGATTGTAGGTCCCAGGCCTAGTAGGCCATGCAGGAGAGACTTCCTTCCCTCTGGGATGTTACTGGCTCCATGGTCATTTGAGTTGACTTGGGACCAATGTTGTAGCCATTACTCAGTTATATCTTGACCTTTGTACTGCATCTCCCAATAATGGCCTTGTTCAACTCCACAGAATGTGTATGTTCGTCAGTAAGGAGAACAATCAATGACTGGTTGACCCTGGTTGTACATGACACTTTCTGGTCTGTATACTGTGCCCACGAGGGGGTCTTCCTCCTTATGAATGAACATCTTCCTTGGTCAGTCTCAAGCAAATGAGACCTGCACCCTGCAGAAAGTTCACCCAACCATTTTTAGCTTTCCAGTACTCCCTTCCAGGACTCTGTGCCCATCATTGTTCTGGTTTTCTTTTCTTTTTTTTTTAAAGGTTTTATTTATTTGACAGAGAGAGACAAAGCAAGAGAAGGAATACAAGCAGGGGGAGTGGGAGAGGGAGAAGCAGGGTTCCCGCGGAGCAGGGAGCCCAATGCAGGGCTTGATCCCAGGACCCTGAGATCATGACCTGAGCTGAAGGCAGACGCCCAACCATCTGAGCTACCCAGGCGCCCCTCTACCGACTTTCTCTGGTCCTGCCAGTGGGAACTAAGCACTCAGGGCCTAATTATCATGGGATGAATGGATACAATGTAGTTTCTAAATGTGATAGAGAAGTCAGTCTGCACCCATAGAAGTCAGCGAAGGTGCTGATATCCCACAATGGGCGCCCATATGCCCACCAACTACTTCCGGGTATTGCACAGGACAGTAGCATGTAGGCAGTACAGACAATAGGTACTAGAGTATATAAGATATTTCAGAGGAAGAAGAGATCACTGAGCTTCAAAGAGAGGGGCTAAGCTGGGCTTTGAAGAACTGTAAAATTGGGGCAGGCAGTGAGGAGAAGGAGAAGACGTTACAGGCAAAGGGTGGAGAGATAGTATAAGCAAAGGCATGCAAGACATGTTTGAGGACAACAAGTAGACCATTTGTCTGAAGCAGAAATTTATTATAGGATAATGGTAGTGGATAATGTTTAGAAAGGTAGATTGGAATTAATTTTAAACATAAAATTCTAGACAGTCAAGTTGCAAATATTTCTATTAAAAGAGACTCCTTTCAATATCATCACCATCATCTCTACCCATCAGCAACACTAAATATTTTTTTTAGCATCTTCTGGGTGTAATTTGGAACTATGGAACACTAGAGAGTTCTTGTTGACCTTCAGAGGGGACATTTTGGAAACCATTCTTAGATAAAATTATCATATAATCATGACTTAAGATCATTCCAAAGAACAGGTGTTCAGAAATGTTCAGAAAGTAGCACCTAAGATGGAAAGTTTGTACTGATTGTACAAATTATACATGAATAATTCCATGAAGAAAAAGGGTTTAAAAACAGCTAATAACTTCTAAGGGCTTTTATTATTTGCTTTCCAATAAAGATATGCTTTGATGCCAGGCACGAAATGTCCACAACATAAAAACCTAACCAGAATGTTTAAACAGATGCTTATCAGCCCTGGGAACTGCCATAAAAGCTATTAAGCTGGTGGTTTCTATTGTGGTGGTCTCTACCACCTTGTTAGGAGTCATAGCATTGCTTTGTCCTTATTGAGCAGAGAAAGTGGTGGTGCTGGGGAAGTATAGGTTGCAGGTCTAAGGTGTGGTGTTTGTAGGGGAGGAGATCTGTTGATTTACTGATTATTTACATACACATCTGAGTCCATTGTTCTCCACTTGGAAACCCTTATGATAACCTGGGACTCAGATGGTATAAAAAGCAAATCCAGGCTCTGCTAGACCAGTACCAGTGACAGCCATGGCAAAGCTTATTCTCCTCACAGGTGAGTCTGTAGTCAGAGACAGAGCCTTACTCTTACCTGATTTCTTTTTCTCTCTGGATCTGACAGCTGTGAAGCAGTCTTCACATTATACCTCTGGGCTCTTCCATTCTTCTTCCATCATTTAAAATTTCCAAGAGAATCCTGACATATACAAATCAGTCTCTTATTCTAATCTCAGCTGACTCTAGTAACATTTCTACCTTCATTGATCCCATGGGCATTGTCCTAACAGAAAGGCTTATTTTCTTCCAATGCTTCTCTTATTCTCTAATCCCTTATCAATTGTTTCTTGTTCTGCATTCATCTTCCTGCACCACCTCATTTTAATTGGTATCATTTTTATTTACCTGCTTGAATCCTTGGTCTAGCCTTTCTAGGGATGAAATCAGTAGAACTGAGATAGAGTGATGTGAGTTATCTTTGTTCTACTGTTTTCGGAATTACTTCTTTTTTATCCCCTACTGTCCTCCTGAGTTGCTGATGTATCATAAAAATGTCAGCTAGAAATGCAATCATTTAAAGGGGTTAAGTCAGTAACTTGTTTAGAACCAAGCTATATCCATTGTTTATTAGTTGTTCTAGAGCTGTGATTTACAAACTTTTTATAGTTTCAAAACCTTTTCTAAATGAAACTTCTAGCTCACTTTATAAAACACTCATGTCAGAAGTGCTCTGGTAGAACCAGGGAGAGGCATCTGGAGTCTTGCCTCACAGTTCCTGGTACTTCTCTTCTACTAGAAGAGCTCCTGAAAAGTGGCTGCAAGGAAATGCCAAAGCTTCAGGAGATACTGGATTCACGGCTTTAGAGGATGCCTTGTCTGTGGAAGGATATAACCATCCCGGTTCAGGGAGGTGCAGCACTGATGGATGTGTACTCATTGAGTAGAGTACATTCTGGGTCATTCCAGTAAAAATTCAGTAAAGCTTCCAAAACAGTACCCTGTGAACTCTGCATTTAGTAACATTTATTACTGACATGAAAGGTGGAAGAAGAGAGTGCCATGGCCATTTTTGACTAAGATGAGGGAAGTGTGGATCTATTGGTGCCTTCACTGGAAAACCCACTCTTCAGCATAATCCCTACGTGCCCCTGGGCTGTAACAACCTATGGCAAATAGGATGGCTCCCAAGGCCTCAGAATCAGATTCCACAGGGTATAGACAATTGGTTCAGAGTGCATGTGTTTTCTTTCCCTCTAGGTCCGGCACTTCTGCTGAATGCTCAGCTAGGTAAGTCATGAACTCTGTCTTCTTTCTTTGACACAATCTTTTCCTACCATAAACCACAAATCTCTATAAATTACTCATAATGCAATTGTCTGATTAATGTATTTTTTAAAGTATATCAAGAGATAAGCCATATGAGGGAAAGAGAGCTACTGTCTACTTCACAGATGGGTTTGACACTGAGAGAACCTATTATTTTGGATTGGCTGTCACTGCTCGCCTCTTTAGCGTGACCACTGGGAGTTATAAATTAGTATTCACTGGGTTTCACAGGACTACTGGACATCTTTTCTTAAGTGGTTCTTAGGCTTAAGATCCCCAAATGAATCTGTTGGAGTCAAAAATAACTAACCCCAAGTCAGTGACTAGTTCCCAAGTTAGAATCTTTGAACTCATCTGCAAAAATATTTACATTAAACACCCCCACATAGAGATCAGGCATTGAGGCAAAGGGAGGGAAACAGAGACAGAGCCAAAACTCATAGCACCTTTCAGTGGCACCTAAATCAGGCCATTATTCTCACTTCTTACTGCTCTCAGGTTCTGCTTACCGGCTGACATGTTACTTCACTAACTGGGCCCAGTACCAGCCAGGCCTGGGGTGCTTTAAGCCTGATGACATTGACCCCTGCCCATGTACTCACCTGATCTATGCCTTTGCTGGGATGCAGAACAATGAGATCACCACCATTGAATGGAATGATGTGACTTTCTACCAAGCTTTCAGTGGCCTGAAAAACAAGTAAGAGATGGAAGAGATATCTAATTTGGTATCTCCTGGGTTAGTGCTTCCCAAACATAAATGTGCAAACAAATCACCTGGGATCTTCTTAAAATGAGTTCAGGTTCAGTGAGTCTGAGGTGGGGACCAAGATTCTACATTTCAAACAAGCTCCCCGATGATGCTGATGCTTCTGGTTCAGGAAGCTACACTTTAAGTAGCAAGGATATAGATAACATAGCACATTGCCTGCTCTAGCAGGTATTCAAAATATATCAATTTTATTTCTCCTTTTCCATGTCAATAGCTTTTTTTATGATCCAAGAAACTGCAAGCCATCTTAGCTACTCACATCAGAGAGCAGGAGGCGGAAGATAATGAAGATTAGACGTCACTGAGGCCCCCAAATCAGAAATGTCTGCTGTATTTTAAGAGTTCTATTTGTGTAAAAATGAAACATAACAAAGAAACAATAACCCTGGTATCTTTTAATTTCTGATTTGCTCAGTTTAGCTATTTCTAGGAGAAATAAGGCTACAGGCCATCACTATCATCAGTAATGGTACTATCTTGAATGTAACTACTAGAATATAAGTTATGATAGAGGAAGTAAACTTCTGTGGAGTGGTATTTCTTTAAGTGTGATCCATTGACTATGTATCAGAATCACATGGGGCACCTGATAAAAATGTCAATCCCTCCCACAGTCCAACTGAATCAGAATCTCTAAGAAAGGGGCTATAAGCCCAGAATTTTAATGTTTTCCCACTCTGACCGTTGAACTCCATTCTTATATAAACTGTTTGAGAACCACTATTCCAGAAAAATGGGCATAATTTTAAGCAACTGATTTATAGTCATTATCTTGGAGGCTGAGAAAGTAATTATGCTCCAGCAACATTTATCATTTCATCTGATGGAACAGAATATGATTTAATTATGCTTTTAAGTTTTATATATATTATTGCCAATAGATACCTGTTTTTACAAAATCCACTCCCATAATTTGGATTTCCTCGAAGAATTTTGAGTGCATTTATGATAACAACACAATTTTGTTGTTGTTGTTGAAGTCTAATTAACATACAGTATTAGTTTCAGGTGTGCAATATACTAATTCAACAATTCTATACATTACTCAGTGCTCACCATGATAAGTGTACTTTTCCTCTCTTTCACCTATTTCACCTCATCCCCTTACCTACCTCCTCTCTGACAACTACCAGTTTGTTCTCTGTATTTAAGTCTGTTTTGTGTTTGTCTCTTTTTTCTTTGTTTATTAAATTCCACATCTGATTGAAGTCATATGGCATTTGCCTTTCTCTGACTGACTTATTTCACTTAGTATTATCCTAAGTATTGGATAACAACACAATTTTTATAAAGAAAGTCTTCAGTAGTGAAGGAAAATTATCCTACAGAATATCTTATCAAGGCAACATCAAACTATATGACCAGGCCCAATACCAAAGCAATGTTATTTTAAATAGAAGGACTCATGGATTTTGAAATTTCTCTTTTCTATTCTTTGCTTTGTAGGAACAGCCAGCCTAAAACTCTCCTGGCCATTGGAGGCTGGAACTTTGGAACTCCCCATAAGTCCTCTCTGGGAGAGCCTGGTGTTCATCTGCTATTGAAAACAAGTTATGTTCCTTTACACTTCACAATCTAAGACAGGTTATGAAGGATGCACATTAAACAAATAGGCTACTGGAATAAATTACTCTACCAGTACCTCAATATTAAAGTAGAACACAATTTATTTTATATGTTTACATTTAGATGTATATTCTGGGATTCCATTCACAGAGGTTTAGTTACTGAGATTTCAAAACAACCTCTTCTTAAAGTATTTCAAAAGCACAATCCATGTGGAGAGTGCTATAGCACTTCTATTTACCTTCTGGGGGAAGAGAAGAGAAAGTCATGCAAACAAACAAGAAGACTTTGAAGGCATATGAACTTGGGGGGGACTATTTGGAGAGAGAACACAGTGAGCTGGGGTAGCCAGGTTTCAAAGCAACAAGTGCAACCTATGGAAAAAAAATCAGAGTTGGGTGGATAACAAAATAAAGGGAACTCTGAAATACCATGGCTGGCTGAGTACTGATTACAAAGTAATGACAAAAGAAAACTAGAAGCATACTTATATCTGGGTTGTGGGTCCCCAGTGAAGAGCTCTGAGGCAGAAATATAAAAGTTTGATTTTACTAGAAGGTGTTGGGACCACCAAGGCGTTCCCTCACCTTGCCTTCTTTGGGTCTCCCTCAGCTTCATTGCCATGGTTTCCACTCCTGAGAACCGCCAGACTCATTGCCTCAGTCATCAGATTCCTGCACCACTATGAGTTTGATGGGCTCGACTTTGGGAGTACCCTGGCTCTCATGGGAGCTCTCCTCAGGGCAAACATCTCTTCAATGTCCTAGTGCAGGTGAGGAGGGAAGTGGCAATCTCTAACCCAAGAATATTCAAAGCCTATTCTTTCCAAGGAGAATCTGGTGTTTCCCAAGTGCAACTAAACTGAAATTTAGAATTATGGAATCTTCACATCACAAAGATTCTTAGATATCATGCCTTCATTCAACAGCATTTCATAAAGATAACAACAAGAACACATGTGTGCTATGTGCCAGACACTATGCTACTTTATTCTACTATTGTATTTTAAAAATTGTAATTCATTTCACCTGTACATCTATTCTATAATCTAGGTACTATAAGTATCATAATCTTTATTTTACAGAGGAAACTAAGGTTTAAGTAACTTGCTTAATATCACACAACTAGTAGGTGTCATAACTACCCATGCAGTCTGGCTACAGAGCCTACTGCTTCTAGTCATTACACTAGACTTATTATTTACTTATTTGTTGACAGCTGTAGAGATAAGAAAGAACATCTCTATTCTTAGCCAAAACATGCATCCAGTCATAATTTATAACTTCCAGTCATTGGCTTTAGTTCTGCTCACCAAAATAACAAAGGATAAAACATCTTTTGTAATCTATCATTCAATATTTGCAGACTGCTGTAACATCCTGCCTATAATTTCTCTTCTTCCCTAATTCCTTTAACTAGTATCACATGACAATTTTCAGACCCACCCTTCACTGGAACACACTCTGGCACACTCTAATAATACAACTATAAAAACTGAACCCGGTCCTCCAAATGAGATTAAAATCACCCAAAATAAAGGTGCTCATGCTAAATAATGGAAACCCATCACTTGGCTGTAACCACTTCCCTTATTGACGAAATCAGCATTTCATATGATGGGATGTCAGTCTTACAAAGTAATTCATTTACTGGATAAAGGGAAGCAACATGTATACTGCCAAAAGCTGGATACAGGTTACTGCAGCAACTATAAGTTCAGAGTATAGTGATATAAGTGGAGCTCCGCCTGGTCATCTAGGACCTGCGTTTTGGGCATAACCTGGCTACTAACTTGCTGTGGGACTTTGGTGAAATTGTGTAACTTCTATTCATATTATATAGCTATAAAATCGATTGATATCATCAATCCTATCTACTTTACAGAGATATTGAGAAACTAAAGTAAGATAAAATATAGGAAAGCATTTTGAAAAAGAAAAGCATGATACAAACTTACTTGTTTAAGGAACTGAAATCAGATGCATAGATGACCTACTGTACTTGATTATTCTACAGGGGAAGTGCGTGAAGGAGGCCAAGCAGATCAACAAGCCCAGTCTGATGATCACTGCTGCTGTAGCTGCTGGCATCTCCAACATCCAGTCCAGCTATGAAATCCCCCAGCTGGCCCAGTGAGTCATTCACCCTATCCTCAAACTCCTGTAGTTATCACTTTTGCAAGGTAGACTTGTCCTCAGTCTGTCTTGCTATTCAGGGACCTCATTTAGGAGGCTTTGGAAGTGGTAACTTTTGCCTGCATAGGTGTGGGAAATGACTGTCACAAATGTTTTTAAATCCCTTACCCCACCTCAGGTACCTGGACCACATCCACATCATGACCTATGACCTCCATGGCTCCTGGGAGGGCTACACTGGAGAGAACAGCCCCCTGTACAAATACCCGACTGACTGGCAGCAACACCTACCTCAGTGTGGTGAGTCCCTGCACACATGCAGATGCAGACCAGAGATGAGGCTGTACACCATATGGAAATTCAGGGACAACACAAATGAAAATTCTGCAAATGTCTCACTTGGATAACTATCCTTCCAATCTCATTAACTATAATTTCACCAAAATGCTTTGAAAAAAATACTATCTGTCATTAACATCATACAATTTGCCTGTTAGAACAGTGGACTAACATAACTAAGCGCTGGGTCATCAGCCTGGTGGAGCCTAACACACTGTCACTGCAGGATTACGTCATGAACTACTGGAAGGACAATGGGACTCCCGCTGAGAAGCTCATCGTTGGAGTCCCCACCTATGGCCACACCTTCACCCTGAGTGACTCCTCCAACACTGGCATTGGCGCCCCCACCTCTGGCGCTGGTCCTGCTGGGCCCTACGCCAGGCAGGCTGGGTTCTGGGCCTACCGTGAGGTAGGTAGATTAGACTATACAGTTCTGTGAATTCCATGCCCTGTGCTGAACAGAATGAAGGCTCATTCTGTCTGCTACTTATCTACTTAAAATACAGCTATCATTCCAAATGCTTTAAGAGTTTAAATTCATTTACCTATTCATTTACCTAATCCAGTATGAAGAGCACTTAGAATGTGCAATATCCCTTCAAGCAACAAACTACATACTTAAGGTCATTTATATTAGCATGTAAGAAAATAAAAGAACTAGATCTCTCAAAGTAATGTGGGCTCCCAAAATCAAGTATTAAGGGTAGGGATAACAGGAATATTTCAAAAGCAACTTGATATTATTTACTTCAAATAACAACCCATAATTAGAAACCAGGAAAATCCCAATTGGAGACATGAAAGAAAAAAAAAATCAAAGAGGCAAGTGTTTGTTTTTTCTTTCATGGGAATCTTATTTAAAAGATTTGAATCTCTTGACTTTTTAAAGATCTGTACCTTCCTGAAAAATGGAGCCACTCAGGCATGGGATGCTCCTCAGGATGTGCCCTACACCTATCAGGGCAACGAGTGGGTTGGTTATGATGATGTCAAGAGCTTCGGTCTCAAGGTAAGGTCAGCCTGTCTGACATACTGCGGGCCCAGCCGTGAGTCCAGGGAAGTAAAATGACCTCTGGTGTCCTCTATCCTTAAATAGGCTCGGTGGCTTAAGGATAACAATTTTGGAGGTGCCATGGTCTGGGCCATTGACCTGGATGACTTCACAGGCACTTTCTGCAACCTGGGCAAGTTCCCCCTGATCAACACCCTGAAGAAAGCTCTTGGGCTGCAGAGTGCAAGTAAGTGAAAACAGAAGGATGCCAGGGGTATACAATTGCTCCTTCTCCCAGTCAAAAGGCAACTCTAACATCTGCCCCCCTCCACTGGCCAGGGAGTCACTTCACATTTCACCTCACTGCTCTTGCCCAGCTGAGACACAGGTGCTCCATTCTTTCCCTACCCTTGAACTTCCAGGTCAGGAATGTCATGCTTTTATGGCAAACCAGGCCTACCTGAGTTTTCCACCTCGGCTAAGTCTTAAAGGTGTGGAAAAGCCCCAAGAAATTTGGTTGACCTTCAATATATAAGCATTTACTTTTCTATGAACACTTCCCTCATGAAAAGTCTCTTTCAGCCCACCTAGAGACTGAACAAGAAACCCTCAGTACTGCTCACATGTTTCTAATCTGTAATTCAGGGGAAATACCACATCTTAAATTTTTTCCAGATTTTTCTCTCAGAGCTCATTGGCTTGCCACTTATACCCAGATCCTAGGCAAGTATTTTGCACATACTGATGCTCAGTAATTTTTTTTTTTTAATGATTTTGACATCATCAGGGAAGAGAGAACTTTTTAAAATTTAAAAGCAGAGTGGCTTGAAATTATAGCTTTTCCTGAGTATGGAGTTATCTTGTGATCTCCTCACTTGTAGGGATCCAGAGCTAACAGCACTCCACCTCCAGACCTTCTCCTCAGGGCCACTAGTCTCCTCCCCTCTAGGCGAGGGTGGGAGCCTCTTCCAGGTCCATGAGTCTGTTTTGTGCTGTTTCAGGTTGCACCGCCCCTGCTCAGCCCGTGGAACCCATAACTCCTCCTCCCAGGAGCTGAAGTGGGGGCGGAAGTGGGAGCGGGGAAGTGGGAGCAGGAGCCCAGCTCTGGAAGCAGCTCTGGAGGCAGTTCTGGGGGCAGTGGATTCTGTGCGGGAAAAACCAACGGCCTCTACCCTGTGGCGAATAACAGAAATGCCTTCTGGCACTGCCTGAATGGAGTCACATACCAGCAGAACTGCCAGGCCAGGCATGTCTTTGACACCAGCTGTGATTGCTGCAACTGGGCATAAACCTGACCTGTCTCCATTCCCGGGTCTCCTTCGCTTGGTACATCTTGCTCCTACCTAGAGTTCTGCAATAAAAGCTGTCAGTCAAAACATGAGACTTGGGGCGCCTGGGTGGCTCAGTCGGTTAAGCGTCTGCCTTTGGCTTAGGTCATGATCCCCGGGTCCTGGGATCGAGCCCCGCATCGGGCTCCCTGCTCAGTGGAGAGCCTGCTTCTCCCTCTCCCACTCTCCCTGCTTGTGTTCCCTCTCTCTCTGTGTCTCTCTCTGTCAAATAAATAAATAATCTTTTTTTTGAAAAATTTTTTTATTATTATGTTATGTTAATCACCATACATTACATCATTAGTTTTTGATGTAGTGTTCCATGATTCATTGTTTGTGCATAACACCCAGTGCTCCATGCAGAACGTGCCCTCTTTAATACCCATCACCAGGCTAGCCCGTCCCCCCACCCCCCTCCCCTCTAGAGCCCTCAGTTTGTTTTTCAGAGTCCATTGTCTCTCCTGGTTCATCTCCCCTCCAATTTCCCCCCCTTCATTCTTCCCCTCCTGCTATCTTCTTCTTCTTCTTTTTTTTTTTTTAACATATAATGTATTATTTGTTTCAGAGGTACAGGTCTGTGATTCAAATAAAAAATCTTTAAGAAAAAAACAACAACAACATGAGCCTTTTTGGGTTAAGTGATTGGGGTGGAAACATTTCTAGATGTGAAAATACAGGCTGCTCAGGGGCAGGGGGTGGCCGAAGAAAAGAGTGTGTGACGAAGTAGGGGAGCCTGGTTGATCTGCATGAAGGTCAGAGGCTGTCAGGAGGAAATGCCTGAATGTTTGGTGCTGGGATGGGATGAGGACATGAAGAAGATAGGTCTGTAGCCTGGAGACTGCCCTCAGGAAAGAGCCAGAGTGATTCCGTGACACTTGGTGGCACAGGCCTGTGCGGCTTGCTCAAAAAGATGAAGCCCAGGGCACTCTGTCCATATCTGCTGAGGTCCCAGAGCTGGCACAGCGCCTCTTAGACCAGGAAACTTTGGGGATGTCTGCCCAGCCTGTGGACCTGCAGTGCTCCTTTATCAGGAGATTGTCCCCTTCTTTGAAGTCATGGCCGTGGTCCCCAGCTGCTGTGCTTATACTGAATCTTCTCCTCCCCTGGCTTGGCTGATTGACTAGGATGGACATCATTAGACTCAAGAAGGCTAATCAAATCACCAAGCCTTGAAATCTGCAACAGGCAACAAGGAGTGGCTGTCATACCCTGAGAGTGGCTTGCCCGGGGATACTTAAACTCAGGAGCTGTAGTGAGAGGCTGTGGAGAAGGGCAGTTGCTCTGGATACAAAGCAAGAAGACCGAAGGGGAGATGCAGTTGAAAGCCGCCACGAGAGACAGAGGACGCTTATGGACAGCTTTCCGCCTTTTAATTCCAGCTCCTTCCTGAGACTCAGATGCCTTTCTGCCTTTGGACTCTGTGAAACACCCCTATACCTCTGCCGTAAATTCCTCTTTGCTGCTTAAGCTGGCTTCAGTTTGTTATTTTTTGCAACTAGAAGAATCCTAATACAATGGCTCCTATTTTTTTTTCTTTTTCTGGAAGGCTTAGTGTATGTCAAACTCTGTTCTAGGTGTTTTACATGTATTTTATTATTTAATTCTCCCAGCCACCCTGTGAGGAAGATAACATTAGTTCCAGAAAACTGCGGCACAGAGGAATTAGGTCACCTGCCCGAGATCACCCAGCTAATAAGTTGCAGAGCCAGATCCCAAGCTAGGCAGGCTGGCTCCAGAGCTCACAGTCCTAACGACTGTACTTCACCACCTCCCTTGATACAGACGTCAGGGTTCACGCTGTAGATGGCCACTTTGTCGATAGTGATAAGGCACAAGCAGCTTTCTGGGTCATGACGACACATTCATGAGCTCACAACACTTGTGGTTATTATGTGCCAGGTAATGTTCTAGGTACTAAAGACATATTGGTAAATAAGATAAAGACTCCACCCCTATGGTGGTTATATTTTGATGGTGAGAGTGTTAGGCAAACAAAGAAATGAAAAAAAGTGTAACAGTGATAGAAAGTGAAAAGGAGACGAATGTACTTTAGTTTGGGCAGTCCAGGAAGGCCTCGGTGGGGGGCAGGGGCCTGGGTGGCGCAGTCGGGTGAGTGTCTGACTCTTGGTTTCGCTCAGGTGGTGGGATCGAACCCTGGGTCAGGTGTGGAGTCTGTTTGAGATCCTCTCTCGCTCTCCCCCTGCCTTTCCCAGCCCCTCTCTCTCTCCCAAATAAATAAATAAATCTTTTAAAAAAAAGAAAAAAGGAAGGCGTCTGTGGGGAGATGAGCCTTGACATTCAAGAAGAGCCAGTCATTTTGAGGTCTGGGAAGAGGGAGTTTTGGGCACAGGTGCAGCAACTACAGAGTCCTTGAGGTGGAAATGCACACGGCACATTAGAAGGAAGAAGACCAGGGCTGCGCCGGGGTAGTGGGCACAGGAAAGAAATAGGCAGGCGTCAGATCACGCAAGGTCTTGAAACATGGTTAGAAGTTTGGATTTTATTGTAAGTGAGCTGTGGAGCCATTGGAAGTTTATAGCAGGGATGGAGAGGTGGTGACATGATCTAAATTCACCATCGAGAAGAGAGGGCTAGAATAGGGTTATAGAACGTGGGAAAATCGCATTCATGATTGTAGCTGATGTATTGAGTTCTGAGCGCTTACATGACATGCCTTGGAGACCAAAAACATAGATATGGGAGTGTCCTCAATAAGCTGGTGAAGGCAAAAGTCAGCAAAATTGGGTATTATTGTTAATGTAATTACATTTCTAACCAAAGAATAAAAAAGCCTAGAGTAAAATAGAGCATAGGAATTTAGGCAGACTTTTTGGAAGGAGTTTCTGTTTAGGTCACTACTATGGCAAATAACACTGAGGAGGGGATGCAGGGAACTGGACTTGGTGAAGGACATGAAAGAGGCCATTGACTCTGAGGAAAAGTATCTTTTTTTTTTTTTTTAAGATTTTATTTATTTATTTGAGAGAGAGAGCATGAGAGAGAGCACAAACAGGTGGGGAGCGGCAGGCAGAGGGAGAAGCAGGCTCTCCACTGAGCAGGGAGCCCGATGCGGGGCTTGATCCCAGGACCCTGGGATCACGACCTGAGCCGAAGGCAGACACTTAACCAACTGAGCCAACCAGGTGCCCTGAAGAAAAGCACCTTTGAACAACACAGTGGCCAGCTGCTAGATCAAAGTGGTTTCCAGGACTAATACCTTCTTCCGATGTCACTATTTTCCCATAAAGACTGATTCTGTCACCATTTCTAGAATGCAGAAATTACTGCAGCCTAAAAAATGGTGTCCCCCATTTTTCCTGCTTCATTTACATATTAATTAGTCAATCAAATGAATGTTTACTGCATACCTACTACATGCAAGAAGAGGACAGGCAAAATCCAGCTCTAGATCCATGAAGGTTCTAATGTTACCTCCTTTGACTCTTCTCATTCCCTCCACTTCAACTATGTTAGCCTCTTTTCTGTTTCTCATATAGTCCAGGCCAGTTACTGCCTCAGGGCCTTTGTACAAGCTACAACACTCTCCTCAGGTTTCCATTTGACTTTTGACCTCACGTTCTTCAGACCCTTCCTCAAAGCCAACTTCTCAGCAAGGCCAATCCTGGCTGCACAACCTTAAATTGAAACCTCCTTGTTCCTTCTGCCCTTCCTGTGCTTCTTTTCTCTTGGTACCTGCCATATCATACATCTTATGTATTTACCATTTTTATTGTCTGCCTCCTTCAGTAGAATTAACCTCTGTGAGGATAAGGATTTTGGTTTACTGCTATGTTCCCATTGTCCAGGGTGCCCGGCATATTACAAGAGTTTAATAAGTACTTGTTGAATAAATAAATCGGTTAGGGCAGGAAGGGAGACAGGAACTAAGAAGGTGAGTATTCAAAGCATGAGACTTTGTACTTTATATAGACTATCTCCTGCATGGTGAATATTGTCCCCACATTATAGGTGAGGGAATTGAGATCTTGTGAGAAAACCTTGCCCAAAATTATGCTGTCAATAATTAGAACTGATTTTCAAAGAGGGGCCTTTCCGGCTTCCTTCTCACCATAATGCTACCCTTCAGAAAGCAATGTCACAATGACTTGGAGGACTTCAAGGGTGGGGCTGCTGCTTAGCAGCCAGTCTGAGTTACACCCTTCATCTTTATCTGTTCATGAGAGTGGTGACTCATGGAGCCATTGTTGAATGAGGGAAACAGGTCAGTTCAAAGGCCCTCCGATGGGGACATCTGGTACAGAGCTTTTTGGAGATCTTCAAGGTCCAAGCCATCTGATCCACTTGAGTACATGAGTAACAAAATCCTGCCATGGATCACCCAGCCATTTCTTTGGAACTTTGCTAATGGTAATCATGTTCTTAAACTCTAGTACATCTATGAAAACTCATTCCTTCGGTATGGGAGTCTAACTGGAAAGAGAGGGGGTATGCTTAGGATTACATAAAAGCCCTGATCCAGGCAGGGCAGGGGGCAGTGCTCTTCTCATCAAGTCCTGAGCCTTGATAAGAAGTGGCACCCATTTAGATGAAAGGGCAACTTTTTTTTTTTTTTGCACAGAGGTACTCTGGGAGTTACCTGTGGTTCTGGGTATGGAGATGGTAGATCAGAAGTGCATTAACTTTTGTTAAATGCCAATTATAGGCTAGTCATTTGCTGTGTAAGATTTGTCTTGTATTATCTCTTAAATTCCCATGGCAGCCCTAAGGAGGCAAGAAATAATTTGTGCCATTTTATAGATGAATCAAGACTAAGTAGCTTCCACAAAGTCATGTAGCTAGTAAATGACACACCAGTACCTGCTGGAAACCAGTTCTGAAAGTCTTCAAAGCCTGTATTCATTCCTCTACCACCAGATGAGAGAGGCTGGTACTTAAGTCTGGAAAGTGGGATTTAGAAAGTCTCTGTTCCTCTCCTTCTTTCACCTTCTGAAGACACATCC